CTTTCAGTCTTTTTTCCCAGGAATGAATATTTCACACACACACACACACACACACACACACACACACACACACACACACACTGCACACTGTTGGTATTGCTCCTAGCCTACTTATAATATGAGGGACAATGTATTGGAATTCCAAGTCTCTCACTTACTTATGACATTGGTGTTTAATTTCCTGCACTTCTTGTCTTTATGTTTAAAATGAAGCTAATCACACATGCCTACCTATTAGGAGGATTAAAATTAAAAGGCACTTCAAATATAACTTTTCAATACTTTCCATTTTATCATTCTTCTTAACCATAATTTCCAACACTTACATTGTATTTTAGTGAACTGACATTTAGATGCCAATCATACCTTTGACCTTGTACTGTTGAACATTTATTTACGATTCTGCATGATTATAGACAGCCTTATGATGAGCAAATTAATGCACAATTTTTTTTTCTTGTTTGTTTTTCCCTCTCTCTGTATTTAGATTATGTGTCCAGAGCTTGGGGTGAAGGAGGATATGTGACTAAGGGGTGGCTCTATGGTCACACTGTTAGACGGTTCTAGAAAGAACATTTTTGGAAACAGGTTATTTCCTAGGCCGATAGAGATAAGGCAATGCAGATGAGGCCATGAAAACCATGTGTGTAGGAGATGTGTGTATGCTTGTATTCATGTGTGGGGTGAAAAAGGGATATAGAAAAACAATTTTCCAAAGTAACTTTTTGCCTTAGAGGATAACCTCAGAATTTAAAAACAAACAAACCACTTGTGTTTTGATCAAGTAAGAAAATAAATGGATCTGAAAATTGTTGGATCAGAGCAAGGGAAGTTGTTAAAACACAATCTCATTAGCTCAGCTCTTTGGAATAAACCAGGGGATAAAGCTGGCCAGGCTTGCGCCAGCACACCTTTGATCCCAGCACTTGGGAGGCAGAGGCAGGTGGATCTCTGTGAGTTCCAGGTCAGCCAGAGCTACATATTGAGACACTGTCTCAAACAAACAGCTGGGACTAAGCCTTTTCTCCTGAGAGGCTGAAGGCACAGAGAGCTTCAGCCAAGAGAGAGAAGGGGCTGCATGGAGGGGGACAATGAGCGATGAAGCAGAGCTAATGCTGACCTGCTTCTTTCTGCCTCAGAGTGACCTGTACCCTAATGATCTCCGTGTCGACACACCCTCGAGAAGCAAAAGAACAGGAAGAAAGATCCAGGAGCTCCATGGAGGAGACACCAAGCCTGTTGGGTGCCTGTTGGGGTCTACATATCCCTCTACCAAAGAGGAGAAAGTGTGTTCTTGGCCAGCAAGGTCCCTGTAGTTTCTGTTCACTAACTATGGTTACTCTCCTGCCATTTTCTCTTGGGAATGGCTTTTGCTCCCATCTTTACCACAACTGCTCTTTTAAAGATCACCAGTGCGCTTCACTTTGCTAATTCTGAAGGTCAGACTTGGTCCTCTATTCCACCTCGCATCCAACTCTTCCCTTCATGAGACACCCACCAAATTTACCTCATTTTCCTTCTTTTCTGGCTACTGGTTCTTAAGCCTCTTCTACTAGTTTCTCATTTCTCCCTACTCTAAGCACTGGTGTACCTCAGGGCCCCCATTGCTGGTGACATGTTTCTGTCTACACTCCTTCCTTGGTTAGCTCTTCCAATTTACTGGCTTTAAGTATCATTCTAGTGACGGCTACATAGGCATCTCTAGCCGAGGCATCCTGTCTGACAGAAATCCAAATGCCTCTCTGTCAGCTCCGCTTCCATGTCTAACACAGCACTCAATCTTAACACATCCCAAAGGGAACTTAGGATATTATTCCCCAAACTTCTGTCTTCTCATAAACTGACAACAGGAATCTTCTGCAAGGCCTCTGGTGCTGTGTTTGGTATCACCTTAGTTGAAAACTGTCATCCTGGACAAGGAACAAGAGCTTCCTCACAGTCCTTCCTGCTTCTGCATTGACCACTCATGTCCATGCTCAACATAGCAGGCACACCAGCATAGTAAGCCACATCACGGGTCTACCAAGAACTTCAGTAAAGGCACACTAACGACGTATCAGTGATACATGAGGAGAGCTAACTGCTCTCCCTTCCCCACTGGCTTTTTCAATCTGCAATCTTCCTACCATAACGATGTCTCCAAGATTCCTTGGACTTTCCAGATCAATGATTGGCTGAGGGCCTTTGCACCTGCAGTGTCACTCAGATGGCTTGTCTCATTACTTCTGGTTTTTATAGGCAAATGTCAAGTTCTTGGGGAGGTCCTCTCTGACCACTGTACTATAATTGCATACTCTGGCCCTCAAAATTCCTGTTACCATGTGCTGCATTTTCTCCCCAGTAGTTATCACTGCCTCATGTTTTATTCTTTATCTCTTTTCCTTGATTTTTGTCTATTTCTCCCACTGGAATATAGAGCTCCATGATGGAAGGAAAAGTTTTTCCCTGTTTTCCTCATTTTTATATCCTCAAGATCTTAACTATTTTTCTGACACACAGAAGGAATCTAATTGTTTGTTATTCCCTTGCTTTTATTGCTTTGTCCTTTTGTTATCCTTCTTTTGTTTTATAAAAACAAAAATTTAGGGGCTGGAGAGATGGCTCAGGGGTTTAAGAGCATTGGCTGCTCTTGCAGAGGACCTGGGTTCAGTTCCCAGCACCTACATGGCACCTGATAACTGTTCGTAACTCCAGCTCCAGGGGATCTGATGCTCTCTTCTGACCTCCGCAGGCATTGCAAGACACAGATGCACTTAGACATAGAATAAAAATGGTGGCACACACCTTTAATCCCAGCACTTGGGAGGCAGAGGCAGGCGGATCTTTGTGAGTTCAAGGCCTGGTCTACATAGCGAGTTCTAGGACAGCTGGGGCTACAGGGAGACCCTGTCTCAAAA